AGTGGCAAGAGATGTTCAAAACCACAATAAAAACACACTCATAGGAAAGAAAGTGGTACGCATCAACAAACACCTAAGGATGTCTCACTTACCAGCTTCTAAATGTTTTCAATAAAACTATTGAACACCTTATAAAGATCAGTCATTTTGCTCAAAAAGACTCATAAAGGCACTCAGAGCAGATATTTTTTCGCAAAACTGTCCCAACAGACAGATTTATAACATGTATTCATGCTTCAAAAGCATTCTAGACAGGTAAAGTAGATTCAGCATTTCAGCAAAAATGTAACAACTTTTACTGTAACCCTGCTACTCCATTACTTATTTTAAAACATCAGCTGTGTTTTACTTCCTATGAAATTCTTGATGAATTTTGACGAATTATCCATAAGAAATGGTCTAAAAACCCTCTAAATAAAAAATACAAGGTTTACTTCCTCTACAGAGAGCAAACTGAAATATTAAGTACTTAAGTATTTTTTCACATATTTGTGTGCACAACACCTGTTTATTTGCTGAGTTTAACACAATGGAAAAAATAAAACGTGAACTATAAAATGTGGTATAACATTTGCGCAGGTCACATATTATATCTTTATTTTCCTGTGTGTTAAATAAACAGTAAATAAACAGTAATTGTGCATTAGCTTATATGTGTTAACTTATTTTTGCTCAGAGATTCAACACATCATGTCATTTGACCAGGGGAGCCGAAACTTTTGCACATGACCTCAAAGAATAAGTCTTTCCCTTTAGTGATTGGTGGATACTTATGAACTAAATAAGCTAAAAAAGTGTTTTAAGAAACTATAACAGCCTCATCTTGAAGGGCACAAGGCAATTCACTTAACGTTAACTGGACACAATAACTAACTGGCATACTTTTGCTCACATACAGTGAGAAAAAAAGCTCCTACTATTCTCTAAAAAGGACAAACTAATTCTGGGCTGTCTTGGGTTGTGTTTCCTTCCATCTTGTTTACACAGACATTTCTCAGCGAGGCCGAGCATTTTAATCATGCTGATATGATAGTCACATTTAAAGCGTAATGACACGCGGCTCCGCATCATTTAGAGCCGGTGATCAATCAGACACTCATTTAGCTTTAATTCATGTAGATGCACACCTAATACTCATTACAAAGATGCAATTTCCACCAGTCAAAGCAGATTAATGGCAGCACATCTCTCCCTGTGTGTCCTGGCCACTGTGTGTGTGTGTGTATGTGTGTGTGTATGTGGGTGGGTGGGTGTGTGTGTGGTCGGGACGATAGATGACTTTCGTGGGGGGGGGGCACGTGCGTGCATGAACACACACTTATCCATGGCATGGTTTATGACAAATCGACTGACAGAACACAACTTTATCAGAGACAATAATAAACAAAAACAAGGCAGTGAAAGGAGGACAGATTGCTTTATTTAAGAGTGGGCTGACTGTTAAAGTGTCTGACAACTTGGGTGGGGTTTAACCCTTAGAATTCCTGTTCTGATTCCTCTTAGAGTTCTTATTTTCATTTTGCTGTATTATTCAAACATTGTTATGTAATTATATATTAATTACATCATGAGTTATGCATTGGTGCACACTTAAATTCTGTTTACATTCTGTATTGTTTTGAGTTTTGAGTCTTTTCCATTTGTATCCATGTGAGAAACATGGCAACAATACTAAAGGATGTTTTTTTTCACAAGACTGTATGAACAACAATAACTTTCCATCAAAGTCAAATCATAATAAACTATATTCTCTACTACTTACAAACTCACATGTGGTATCAATTGAAAGTGTCAATGAGCTATGAATAAGAAATAGTTCATGTCAAATCTCCATGCTTTTGTTATTGCCAGTGACCTCTAATGTTTAAGGGGGCCATGTATTTACAAATAAGATTAAACACCATTTACATTCACTTCAAAGCACTTTTGATCTTGTTAAGTCTCAAAGACATAAAGTAATCATATACATATAAGGACTCATTGTAGTCTGGTGTTGTACTAAGCCTGGGTGGACTTAATTCCATGCCAGAATATTGGTCCATATTCATGAAAATTTCATACTGTAAATCTGATAACAAAATGTATAATATTTTGATGGAAATATATTATTAGCATTAAAATATTAATATTTTATTTTCATATTTTAAAATGGCTCATTTGAGGTTAAATAATCAAAATGATTTCAGGTAACAATATCAGAAAAATCTATAAAAATAGAAAGTAACAATGGTAAAACTAATACTTGTGTATATAGCAACTGTTGTACTAAAGTGGATGGATTTCTTTTTTAAAGTGTACATTGATACAAAGAAATGCTTTGACTATTTCTTCCATTTAAGGATGTTTGTTTTATACCAATGATATCGTAAAAACTGCCTTCTTACAATACAAAAAAGCCTCATAGCAATAAATTCATAGTAGGGAAAACATTACAGTGGTGGCATTTACAAACAAGAATGTACATGAAGTCCTCCTTTATAATGTTTCTGGTGTAGAGCACTTGTTATTTTAACATCTTTATTAAGGAATTTATCTAATTTTATGAAAGTATATATATATATATATATATATATATATATATATATATATATTTTCATTGTTTTAGAGATGTTTTTAGAGAACCATGACAAGGGTTACAAGCTTTTCTTGCAAACCTGCTACCTGCTTGACTACAAAGATAAGTTCAGGATCTTGTAACTAGTTACCTAATGAGGTTAGCTAAAGCTAGTTGGTAATGTTTATTAGAATATAGTCAATGTTGTGCAGGTTGGGTAAATTCAAATGTCATTTTTATCTTATTTATATGTGGGTCGTACTCTTTTCTAACTTTGTCTACCATTACAGCATTGTCTAACTACACTGCCTAACATTTGTGTTGTTTTGTACAGTGTCCAGATGACCAGGTCGCATTTCCTATGTAAGCTAATGGACATGATGATGTTTAATTACTTCAGTGTTTGAGCAGCAGTATTACTGATGCTGTGAGCCTGAAGCTTCTTATTTGAATTTTGAAATTTGAATAAAGTGGAATAGAAATTCACTAGCACCAGAATGTTGCATGTTGTATGTTGCAGAACTGTTGCATGGTTTAAGGTGGAATGGAAAATGAGCTGGCATCAGAATGTAACTGCTGCACCGTTTAGGGTGGGCTGGAAAATTTGGAAAATAAGCTGCCAAATAAGAAGCCAACTTCAGTCTCATACTAATGCTAACACTTACTGTGGCATAGCAGCAAAACATACTGATCAACACAACCCTGCAACCAGTCCGCACAGTTCAATGAATAAACACCACCATTTTTAATTTTATTTATAGATAATATCACATTCTGTCTCCTCATCACAGACAGATTTTTATTTCTTTAAATCTGTACCATCCAGCGCAGTCTACCTTTCATGTAGACCTTGTCAAGCTTGCTTGTCTCTGAAAACTGCTCCACAAAACAATGTCTTTCATGGAAAGAATAGGTTCTTACTAAGGATGTAAAAATATGCTAGTCCTTTCTTAGTTGCAAACACCACCTCTACTGTAATGTTTGGCCCACTACGATGGCTTCAGCTGTGTCTCACATGGAAATGTGAAAAGGATCTTTTGTCGTTTATGCAGCCAGTGTTTATGAAAATGATCACACTACACAATCACATCACTCTACCCTCAGAAAAGAGGCTACATGTTGTTCATTTCACATGTTATTCTTTTCCATTGCTGTAAATTTGACACTATTAAGATATTAGACCTTTGGGCAGTAGGTGGAGCAAAAAGTACCTATGCTTGACCCCCGACTCTGCCTGTGAGGACAACCATTGGATCACAGCTGCTGAATAATTTTGTTTTATTGGCTCACTGTCAATGGGCATGGGCATGCTCTGAGTAAATTACATGTATATGTAGACAAATAGGGGTGTGTCTATTATAGATAATATGTGTGAGAGCCTTATCAAATCAACACTTGTTTCTTCATCATAGGACAGTTTCCTGAATCTGAGTAGTTTATGTGTCATTCAGGATGGTCATCTGCGCTTGTTTCTACACAACTTTGATGAATAAGGGACATTGTTTGTTGCAGCTGATAGAACACTGTTATTATGTGGTTATTATTCTAAAGATGTTACTTTACTACTTTACTTTTATTAGTTCATTTGTATTTTTGTCAATGTTCATGGCAACATTACAAACAGTCATACTGTAATTGCTTTAATGTTACCTCACATAATTGTCACATTGGTAGGTACCACAAGGTAAAGATAGGTCACAACTGTACAACTTTATTTTTTAATATGGGTGCACTAATTATTTTGGTATTTGGCCTCAAATGTATAGAACAATCTCATAAATGAATGTGTCTCATATAAATGGTGCCCCATGTGAGGATGTTCTCCCTTTAGATAGGTTTTAACACCCCTCAGTGTACATTATCCATTAAACGTTTGGGGACAATTAGCTTTTTGAATTTTTTTTTTTAATAAATAAGTATGAGACATGTTTTCTTGCCTTGTTTGCAAAAACTTGATGTCATTAAACAGAAAGCTATTTGCAAAACTGAAGAAGAGAAAGAAGTACTACACTGGGATTAATGTCAAACCCTAGGTATTTTATTCTCATGTGATGTCAGCACTCAAACAATTAAATTGTTTAAACCACCTTTGGGCCAAATGATTTTCAATACATGCTTTTAAGAACAGTTTGGTAAAGAAAACTGTCAAATGTCGGCAAAACATGCTCTTCATAACATGAAAGACACTTTGGTGAACATGAATGTAAGTCATACAAAATATATAAAAGCATTAGCAACTGTTTTATGTTGAAAAACATGTTTGTAGCAACAGCATTTGTTTTATAGTTCATTGAAAAGTAATAGTCAAAATAAAACAGTGTATACATATTCACTTTTTGTTTGTACTCATACCTAAAGCAATTCAAGAAGTTGCTAATCAAATTTGCTGATAATAAAGTATTTATTCAGGCATCATGTAATGTTTATGGCATCATCTTGAACAGACCTTTGTCTTCATCTTCATCTTCGTCACCACATAATGAACTTCTCTCCTGTACCAAGAAATGCAAAAGGAGGTTTGACTCGTTTCCTACTGAAAGTGCAGCAAAAAAAAAAATAAGTATACCCATGCTACATGCCACAGGAAGTGCCAGCACACAAAAGTGGCGTGGCACTGTCTGGCATTAGCGTTTACACTTGGGCATCAAAAGCACAGAAGAGGTCTTTCCACTTGGACGAAGCACAAAACAGCATTTAGAAGAAGCCACACAAGCCCCTCACACATCAACAAAATGATCAAAAGTGTTTGGGCTGGTGAGGTTACTGGCAGTCTGAAACAGTTTTGAATGTGACACATTCAAATTCTATTTTTCAGACTCAAATTCACTCTACAGTCAATTCTACAATAATATACAATCTCTGTTGTTGCTGCTTATGGGCCATAGAGGAGATCAGCAGCAGATAGTGAACGAGCATTCCACAAGAAGAGCAAACAGTCATGGGAATATACAAATGTGGTCAGACAGAGAGAGAGAGAGAGGGAGAGAGAGAGGTGTAAAGTGAAGTGTATTGGTTGGAAGTAGACAAGCCATATGCTGGGCATGTTACTGGACACATGGTCTGCTCTGGACATCATTTCCAGGGAGATGTGTGTGTGTGTGTGTGTGTGTGTGTGTGTGTGTGTGTGTGTGTGTGAGTGAATTGCATGAGTCTGGCTGAGTGAGGATTAACTACAAGCGCAAGCAGGAGTGTGTGTGCGTGTGTGTCTGGCTTAGGGAACATTATAAAGAGCAAGTGACAAAGTCACACACCCACACACACACACACACACACACACACACACAGTGTCAGGGCTCACATGGGGTCATCTAAATGTCCTATATGTATTATGTATGTATGTCATAAAAAATGTACAGAATGTACTGTATATATATATAAGTACATATTTGTAATACTAGTATTTATTAGACATTTATATAATAATATATTCCCTATGCATTACATATATTTAATATATAAATATTATAAATGAATAAATTCCCTATGTATTAAATATAATTGTCACTGTCATTTGTAAGCCATGTATATCCATTTGAACTCGCTTTACACTCTGTGACCATTTCAGGATGAATGAACCAATAGAAATCTTTCAAAATTAAATCAAATGTTTAGAAATTTTATTCCAGCAGTGTGTCCTTTCATGAAAATAAATACAAATAAACATAAATACAGTAAAAAATTAAGATTAAGAATTTCTTGTTTTCAAAAAATAGTTGATATCCTGCAAGCAGGTTCAAATTCCGTATTTTTCCTTGCTGCTTCCAGCCATTGAATACATTTGTTCAGCACACCTGGTTTAACTTAAGAAAGCATTGATTAGCCAAACTAGCTATTGTATGGTTACTGTAAATAATATCAGGCTGACACAGCAAGGTTCAGCAATGGTTAAATGAATACACATCAGATCATTATTTACTATATTTAGTTGTATTTATTCTAAAAGTTGTGTTTTCTCCAAGCAAATAAATACTTGGGATAAATATACATGAGATAATGGAGTGGAGATTTTTTTTTACAAGATAACTTACTTTTGCTCACTCCTATGTATGTAAATACCTGTATGTAATAGAAAATACTAAATCTAATCTGAACTGTAAGCTTGACCTCAGCAGTCAAAAAGAAAAGTAAACCAATCATTGGATGGTCAGGCATGCACACACGCACGCACACATGCATGCACACTTCCTGTAGACAGTAAAACACTTCCTCTGTCAAAGCCAGCTCTCCTTCCATTCTTCCCTCATTCTCACTTGTGCTCATACACAAACGGAGCTGTATCCAGTGGGCAGTACACTGTAGTGGACTGGCTGCTTCTTAGAGGAAGTAAGTAGCGCAATAGACGAAAACACACACACACACACCCACACACACACACACATTCGGTTTTGGCAGCCGAATGCTCGCTGCGCACAATATACTCAAAGTTCTTAACTAATGCCAGAGAGCGAGAGAGAGAGAGAGACAGACAGACAGACAGAGAGAGCAGGAGGCACGAGTGCGTAAGTGTGTTTAGCAACAATTCTGATAATTGCCGGGGCCACTCTGAGCTGATGGAATAAGCAGATTTGATTAAGAGCCCTTCTGCATGATCAAATATTAATCTGCTGTGTCTCTGAGGCCATCCTGCCAGGCCGCCTCCCTCCGAGCCTCTTATGGACTTATGCATTAACCGATTTACACAGGCTAAACTCATAGCACCTAATAATATTGGACATGCGAGTCAGAGCCGAGCAGGGATCTTCCAGGAACCGAAGCTACTTACCATAAACAGAGTAAAAATAGCCTGGGATGATAACCAGGATTAACACTATACTATGACAGGCCAATTATGTTTAAAAAGAAAAAGAGTTTGACCGTCCAAACCGGCCGATTGAAAGAGAATTCTTAAGTGGGGCGTGATGGATTGCACTGTTGTCATGTTTGGTTTGGAAAAGGTGAAAAATTGTCGGTGTTTAAAGCATCAAATGAATAAGAACAACAGAGGAACACAACAACTCATGGAGCTTAAGCAGTATCCTCTAGTTTGAAAGTCTACAGTGACTTAGTATCTGAATAATAACAACAACAGTAATATACATTTTATGCACACTGACAAAATGAATATTTTAATTTTCATGATCAAATTCTGTCAAACGCAAACTGAAAGACACCATTTGCATTGAAGTAACATTTTATTTATGGGTCAAATTTGCTTTATGGACCACTTGTAGTTCCTGTGAACACTGCAAAAATGATATCCTGGCAAATGAAAACATCTTAAATCAGGTCAATATATCTAATTTTTCTTATTATAACACTGTTGTAAGAATATCACAAGATTATCCAGCCTCTTTCTAGACATTTTACTAATTTACCAATGAAATCATCTTTTTCCAGATAATGGCAGAAACCTTTGCTTTTAATTCAGTGACAAGGATTTCACTTAATATTTCTAACTACAGACAAAATGATCTAGAATTTTGTAGCAAAGACTTTGTCTGAAAACGTGTTTATCTTTAACATTGTTTTAAAAATGCATATATAATCCAATATTAGCATTACTGAGGTCTTCAAATAAACATCTAAATATAATAACAGCAATAAAAAGCCCATGCTGCAAACAAAAGCTCCACATTCGGACATATTTTCAATAGAGGTCAGACACCCTCCATTAATCCGCGCTCAAATTATGGCTAATTCTTTAAGAATCAAAAATGCCTCAGTGCTCAATTATCTATTAATTTACCATCCGAGTCAAAACTTACAATAAGCTCATCTGCAATTAATTACACTTTGATTAAAGCCTTTATTAAATATGCGACGGTCAATACAGTAATCTGCTCAGATCAGTGCGTCCTGATCAATTAGGGCAATGATTTAATTAACGGCGGCGTGCATCAAATTATATAGCGGGCATATTAAAGAGCCGGGGTCGTCCAGGCTCGGCGAGGGGCAGACAGCAACTGGTGCTTAACGGGATTAGTATGACATTAAATCAACTCAAACACTCCACATTTAATAACACAAAACAGATTGCAGGAATCATAGGATTATTCCACTGGATTATAAATCCTACCTCCTACCGGCACACACCAGCAGCACAGATTAAGCCAGCTACTCTAATCTACAAAGTATGTTTAAGTCAATATGTATGTATGTATATTTTGAACTGTGTAGATAGGGCTTATAGAACAATTATAATCTTATTGGGAAGCATATTGTTAGGTCTGGAGGGCATTAGTGAGAACAGATGCTAGGACTACGGTAAATGGCTTCATGTGTGGAGCCTCTTGTCCTCCGCTGAATGGCATGCTGTATTAAAACCAGAGAAGAACTGGACACGTAAGGACAATAACGTGGACTTACGGTGGAGGATATAAAAGTTTGAAAATGTTTTAAAAAATAGAAAAAGATTAGCCTGTAAAATAATCTTTATGGATTTTTTTATTCTATAAAGTTGACTCTATTTACAAGTAACGTTATGTGTTTATAAACACTCATACAGGACCAGTGCCTTCTGTTCAGTTATATGTCGTGATTATACATTTTATATTATAGTTATATGCTGTCATATGCAAAAGTTTGGGCGCCTCTGGTCATATGACATGTTTTTGTTGATTTTCTGAGTGAGAATAAGGTAAATATCTTCTACAGTGAACACAATTTTGCACATTTTAATGCACAACTACTGTTTATTTAGTGAATTTAACAAAATAAAAGGTAAATTGTGGCTAGATGTGTGCTAAAACATGCAGAAGCATGCCATATTTAAGTTTTCAAATATTGTATATTACATAATTAGCATATATTGTATATACTATGCAATATATATTTATATACTTTACAATATAGTGTATAATGAATATCATATAAATGTATCTATGCAAAAAAAAAAAATAAAATAAAATAAAGGTAATCTTGCCTAAATTTTACTGAATTAAATATTATCATTTATTGAACAAATGAGTAACAGAGTTGGCAGCCTCACTAAAATTGTGTGGACACGGCTATGCTCTTATGAATATTATATAAAGTTCTATATTTGGCCTTTACTGTAACAGTTTATTCGTAAGACTTTAACACTGCCACCCTAGATGGAAAGGAAAGTCAGTTCTGGTCATTTTAAAGTGTGAATAATCATAAACATGAGAAAAAGGGATGAAAAATTCCCTCCTGCAACTGTAAACATTCAAAAACTATAACTCCTGACTGACCCCAACAGCAGAACAGATTGTCAAGAGCCACCTTCTTTCTCATATAAGAGCAATATCATTTCCATTTCACCCATAACGCTTTGCCCACCGCACGTCTTCTTCTTCAGCAAGGCACGCATATGGACAACACAAAGCTTAGCAGACATCCCGTGTGCTAGCAAATCTAATTTGAAGCACTTTACTTATTCAGAAAACAAAACCGGCTAATAAGAGATTAACCTGAATGCCTGCATTGGGATGAAAAAGCACTTAGCGGTAGTTATTTCGGTGAAAAACTTGGCAGGGTCAGGTACTGAAAC